GCCAACCCCAGCCAGAATGCAATGAGATACATCAACAGCACCCCAAAACTCTGAATCACGATCCACTCACTGCAACCGAGTCAGTCCGTCCTGGCTCGCTTGGAGAGTAACTGCTCGATCTGGTTCATCTGCTGGTCAAACATGGACTTCAACTCGCTCTTCTGCTCATCAACCTTTGCATTGAGAGCAGCCAATTGTCTCGCAGTAGCCGAGGCTTGTTTCGTTGTAGTCGCCTGCAGCTGGTCCTGCGCATTGGTGAGTTCGTCCATCTTCTTTTCAAGTGCCTGGATCCGGGCCTCAGCCTGCGAAGATTGTCCACCTGTCATGTCAACATCTGCCCCAGGTGCAGTGGGTACTGGGGCAGGCAGCTGAGCCAAAACCTCTGATCGCACATGCTTCACCAGCTGGGATACGTCAACATTGGAGGCCGAATAAGGAGAGGGTTGGAATCGCGCCCACGGATCATTGACTTGCAGAATGTCCTTCATGTCCTTGTCTGCCGCCTTAGGGGGATGGAACTTGGCGATGGTCCCCTTGGCTGCCACGACTGCTGGCACATGACGGTCCTGCACTGCCTCCGAACTCATGGACGTAATGATCGCCTCCGACGACCTGAAATGAAGGATGGCACACGGTGGATCTTCTGTGGCCTGAATGGACCAATGCAGTCCCTGAACCGAGAAACCTGACTGAACGACTTGAACCGGCTTTGCATTCCATCCTAACTCCTTCAAGGCTTTGGCAAGTGCTTGTCGCTGGGTGCCATACGGGATGGGACCTATCTGAAATTGCTTTCTACCCAAAGCTGACACAAAGACTTCATCAGGTCGAATTGTGGTCGCAACCTTCTCGGCCAGCGCGGTCTGGACCCTCAAACCCATGCGATCACCTGATCGCGCTAGGCCCATTACTTCCGGGATTTGCTTGCTCAACAATGTGGCCTCCTCCCGCTTTTGTTTTGGGAGCCAGATCACCTGGAAATCACTGCAGGCCTCTCGGACATCCTCTGCTCTCGGCTCTGCGTAGATACCATTTGTGCCCGAAGCTCGAATCACTGGCTCAAGGAGCTTCTTGGAAAGCCGGTCATCACTGAAAAGATTTCAGCATCCTGGGGACGAGTCTGCCTGAATGTGCTCGTCAGGAAAGTTCTCGACCAAATGTCAACCAGTGGGGTGGCAACTTGTTCAATCTTGCTATGCCACTTTGAACAACCACAGCTTGCTTGTGTGCAAAGTTGAAGGGGCTGGAACATCTCTTGGAGGTGGCGAAGGGGTCGATCGACCACAACTTTCCATTCTGCAGGGTGTTCATCACGGTACAAAGCAAATCGAATGACACTTGCCTGAAGAATGTCCAGGTTCATGCATGTGTCCGGCTTGTACTTCTGCACCGGGCGATCTCCCAGCTGCACAAGGACGGCATTCACTAACAATGGTTCCATCCCACCTAAGCGCTTGGCCGGAAAGCGAATTTCCGTCACTCTGGGAGCGGACAATTCGGGTCGGGGTTCACCAATCACCACCAAAGCAAGGGCCTTCTTGGAAAGCGGCTGCTGGAGGCTCAAGTATGGCCGGCTCTGATCTGGCATGCACAACGCGACTCCAGTGGCTTCAGCTCCCAAGATGTTAATGGAGATCACCTTCACGCTCTCTGTGGATCCATCAACATTGACTCCAACAAACGTGTTGTCAGCCACAAAAATCTGATCAGGTCGAATCATGAGTAGGGGAGGAGCTTTGACCGCCTGAAATGCCTGTTTCTGCTTCTTGGGCTTGCTTCTGTGGCCCACCTCACTACCCGAGGCCGCCTTCACCCGAATTTGCTCTTCGAGTTCATGAGCCAGAATCCACCGCATAGGAGGGTTGCACTGATTACCCAACACCTTCAGCTGGCTCCACGGAAACGGTGACTTCATGGCTAGCTGCAGCTTAGCGTGCCCAATCCTGTCCATGGCAGTGTTGGTGCGTTGAGCTGCATCTTGGGCCTGGACCCCTCGTTCGATCAACAGCTCCTGGATCTGACTTGCCAACGATGCTTGATGATTGCCTGCTCCATAAAGCACCGCATCTTGGCTCCTTTCTGCCTCTCGGATTGACTTCACAAATGCTTGATGCCTGGCAATGGCCACCTGCTCCAGTGAACGAGGAGTTGGTGCCATACAAGATAGCAAAGCAAAATGTAAATAGGCAACTGCATCCGGACCACAGCTCTGCAAGGTCGTTGCCACGCGAAGGTACTTCGTGACAGAGAATGTGGAAGCCCCCATCAAATCAACAATTGGTTGAAACAGCTCCTGCACCTTGTCGAAATGGTCCATCGTAGTATCCCACACTGAGAAATGAATGTGGTCACCATCTACATGACCCAACAATGGAATCCAATGACCCTGCAGAAACGGGACACACAACAACCAGCCACTTACTCGAAAGAATGGGGCATCATTTGCCAGAAACAAGGATGTACCATGTGCCAGCGTGCTTGCGGAAACCAATGGATCGATCCAGGTAGCAAAAGAGTTAGCATCTTTGGCCAGCTGTTCCAGGTGCCATGCAATCTCGTCATCACCCCATGGAATGCCCCAGTCTTCAGCCTCAGCCAATTTACGAGCAACCGTAGGCCCATCAGCCCGCATGGCGATGACATCCTGAGGAGTAGCAATACACGGGGGGTTCTGAGTCGAGTCCACGAAGCTCCACATCGTCGAACTCCCTCACCTTCAATAATGTCGAGGCGAATGCGGGTCAACTCACCAATCTCTTCGTTCAGCGATGCAGCTTCACCTTGGGCGTTGCCACAAAAGAATTTGGTGTCAACCGGATAGAGGGCCAATTCTGCTTGAACCCAATGCCAAATGCGGCACCCTGCCCGAAAAGGAATCAACTGCTCGACACCATTGAGGATACCAATGAAATGTCCAGGTGTGACACCCCGGGAAGGTTCAGCTGGTGCTTCCACAAGGGTCTGCTCAATGACTTCCGTGAATGGAATCACTGGAGGGATTCCTGCATCTGGAAATCTAAAGAATCCTCCTTGCTCGGCTTCTGCGATCAGCTTGGTGCGCTGCATAGAGAGAACTTCAAGCGGGCCCTCTTGGCATGGGGGCACAAGACCTCTTTGAGCTAGGTGTTGGCGCACATGTGAAAGAATCCAAGCGCTTTGCATTGGGGAAGCCAACTGACCAACAAGGCATAATCCGAGACGAGCATCTTTCCCCCATTCCATGTTGGGCGACAAGCCGTTCAACAGGGCACATTCTGCACCCGAAGGATACCGCATGTGAGGAAGTTCCATCCCCATGTGTTTGGTCATGCCTCCGGTGGGGATCAACAGCACATGAATCCCATCCCGCTGCAACCGCTCGAGAGCCAATCCTGAGGACCGACAGCCACATCGGCATCCATAGAAATGACTTCCCCAAGCATGAACGGCCGTGGGAGCCTGCTGATCAATGCGGATGGTGTAGCGATGCAGAGTGCCAAGTTCATGAATCGAACGAAGCTCGTAGAGAGTCAATCGAAGCTGCTGCTCAAGGTGGGGGGGAACAGTATCAAAATTGTTCAACACCAACGAAATCTTGGGGCTAGACCGAATCCCCTGCCAATCGAAAAGTTTGAACGGCCCAAAATTGCCTTTGGAAAGAACACCCCACCACCGATGCCTTCGGGAGACCCAGACATCCCCCAGCTCCAAAAGAACACGTTCGTAATGAAAGCCCGAGTCACGGCAAAAGGCACGAATGCACTCTTCAAATGCAGGGAACTTCGTGACATCAGCTACGCATTCCAGCACCACGATGGAACTCTGCATCAAATAAGCTGCACGAAGGACTTTGGGCAAACAATTCGACCTATCATCTGCTGCACCTCGTCGATCACCCAGTTTCGAGAAGGGCTGACAAGAAACCCCTGCCGTCAGAACTCCAGCGGAAGGTGCATGCCTCAAAATGGTTGCAACTGTGGCTGTCTCGCCAATGTCACCACGAACAATGACAGGGCCTTGTTGGAGCTCCAAGAAGTCGCAAATCTCACTCCGGATTTCATTCTGAACCATGACTTTGAACCCAGCATCAATCGCTCCTTTCCCAAGGGCCCCAAGGCCAGTGCAGGTTTCGACCACCTGACACAGGACCTCCGGTGTGAGCACTTTGCGGGGAAAATGAAAGGACATGCCATCCATTTCTGCAGACGGAACCGGTCCAGCCTTGACTATCACCACATCAAGAAATGTGACCTTGGTGTCCTCCAAATGGTCGATCCCATGCCGAATCCAGATCTTCTGGCGTCTGTGGACCGTTTCACCTAGCACCCAGTGATCTTGGTCTTTCCATTCAATGTTGACCACAACCGAACATCGTGTACCCACATCTAAATCAGCCAGATGTGGCTCAACAACATGGCACTCCATGACCAAGACTCCGCAGGGACCGCCCCGCCCCTGGTAGGCGCTTGATCAAAAGGGCTTTTGAAAAAACATCAAAAAAAGTCAATCCCAAAAGTCAAAGTCAAAAAAAAAGTCAAATCAGAAAATTTCAGAAAGTCAAAAAAGGGACAATTTGCCCAGAGCCGACCTTTTTTGACCCTTTTTCGACTTGTGTTTGACTTTTTTCGCCTTTTTGATGACATTTTTTTGACTTTTTCGAGCTGTGGTCTGTCTATGGTTGACTTTTTTCGACTTTTTGTTGATTTTTTTTTACTTTTCTTGACTCCAGTAACTCCAGTAATCCGCCAAGGCAAGGAGCCACAGTCTTGACTTATTTTTGACTTGTTTTTCCAACTTTTTCTTTGACTTTTTCGAGCTGTGGTCTATGGCAATGGTTGACTTTTTTTCGCCTTTGTTTTTGCCTTTTTTTTGACTTTTCAATTTGACTTGTTTTTGACTTTGACTTTTCCAGTTGACTTTTGTTTGACTTTTTGTTTTATATTGTTTAAATCACGGATTCTGGCCTTACCATATGAAAGTTTTTTCTAACTTTAGTCAGTGAGAAAGAAAAGTCAGCCCACCTGCTGCGCTGGTCGTCGCTGCCCAGAAGCCATAAGCCTGGTGGTATCTCACAGCCCCAGGTAGGGGTCTCCACTGGCACATAGCATGTGCGCACCTCAGCAAAGAATCCAAGTGGGTTTCCGTCTGCCCATGGCATCTTTGGACAATCACATGACTTAAATACTCTTCGATACGCTTCGTGCAAGTGAGTTACCTGCCCTGGTATCCACTTTGTGTCTGGACGACACAATCTTCGAGAGGCATCCAAGAATGTGCTCACCTGCACCGATTTGCATTTGAGTAGCTGCGTTTGGACCAAAGGTGTTTGAGGATTTTGAGGAGCACAGGCCGCATAGGGTCCGAAGCTGGGTCAGGGATCTCCAAATGAAGAAAGAGCGACTCAGTCAAGGTGAATGACGGCCAACGGGATGAAGAAGGTTCACCAGGTTTGGGTTGAACCCACCAACCAGAGGGTGCTGTCTGTGGATATCTTTGGAAGTGGGATTCGTTTTGCTTTTAGTTGGTGGTTTAGTTAGTGAGTGGGATTATTGATCTTTTCTGGATGAAATGGCCTGTAACATCCTGTGACAAGTGCAGAAAGTGTGTGGGTGTGAAGTTGCCAAGGTTGTTTGTCGCAGCGAGAGCGATTAACTCTACCCATAGAAGGGGTCTCCTTCAATGCCAAGTTGCCATAAACTCGTTGGCTGCCCAGTCTCCGATGGTCTCCATCACAACGACCTTCTCTGGTGGCAAGCAGTCCCAGGCAGTCCACAAATCTCCCTCCTCAATCTTCTACAGACTTAATCCATGCTAAATTGATACCTGGAGAAAGGCCATCCTCTCTGCTGCTATCCTAGCTGTGTGTCTGACTGCAAAGAATGAGAGGACAGACTGCACAGCAGCTCATCAAAAAGCCATGCCATGCTATGCTATGCCGCCATGCCACATTGGGTCTTGGAGCGAGCTTTTCACTGGGAAGCTGCTGGGACAGACCTGCAAAGACCTCAAACGTGACGCCAATCAATCCTTCACCCCAATTCAGATTGAAGCTTGGCGTTCATTCACATGCTTGTGCTTGGTTTCTGCGTTTCAACGGTTTCCAGTTTTCCACACCTGCACATTCGCTGGCACCTTCCGCGCAGCCCGCTCTGCTGCCCAGGTATTGCCTTCGACAGCGTATACCTTGCCATCTTGACATTGCAGCCAACTCTGACAATTCAATTCTTTACTTGGTTGATGTCTAGCTGGCCTGCTTGGCCCCTTCATCGGCGCACAGCCGTGCGAACGGTGCATAGGCACCACAGCCGATCTCCAGCACAACAGTGTCCTCTCCTGTGTCAAAATGACATGCATACGATGTGATGTTCAACAGCCAACTCAACCGACACGGTTGTCAAGACATGCTGCAACTTTCAACAAGAAGAATTGTACTAGGTTGGCCGTCGCTACTAGGTTGGAGGCCATCTCTCTCTCTCTCACTCTGTCTCTCTCTCTCTCTCTGCACTTTGCCACTCAAGCTTGAGATGCTGAAGCCAAGTCACCCAAGCTTGCCCAATGCTCAATGGATTGCTGGATAGCTCGTTGGAAAGAGCGGTACTTCTTATTGTCACTGGCCATCATGGCATAGCTAAGAAGATTGTAGCCTCAAAGCCAATTGTGAGGCAGATTCACTCATCTGCTGTCGCTTCACACGGCGACCTGCAAATTGGAACTTCGGTTGACTATTAAGAATTTAGTGCCAAGACAATTGCCGTTTCAGCCACCAATCAAGAAGCAAGCCGGCTAAACCCTTTCTTATCTGCGGCCTAAGAAGCGGTCGTTAAAGTTCTCAACATCCTGCCTGTCCGTCCTGGAGAAACTTCAGGATCAGCGATCAATGCACCAACAAGGCGGGCAGAGTGGGTCGACTGCCATCTTTGTAAACAGCCCAAAGACCTAGAATCTAAGCTTGGACGACGCTCGAAAAGCAACTATATCTGTAGAACCTCTTCTCTTCAGAATACAACGTTCTGAGAAAGAGTCTGGAGCATGATACTATACAACTCAGCTTTTCAGGGCACCTGTACTTTTTACCTGCAGCAGATCTGCCAGACCGTCGCAGCCACCAAATCACCAGAGCCCAGCACCACGTCACTGCCTGCAGAACTTGGATTAAGTCTACTGTACAAGAGGCTCAACAAGTAAGACTAAAGCAATGACATGAAAAAAGGCCAACAAACAGGGCTTTCAGCGTCAAACACTAAAGATCAACAGCAATTGAGCAAAATTGCTTTTTAAGAAGCTCATCTTGCCTATTTAAGTGATTCAAAGTGTTACGAGTTACCAGAATCTACCAGAGTTGCGGAGCTTGCGATGCTTCACTGTAAGACACTTCAAGGCCAACTGGCATTATGGCGACAGCTGCACTCAATGTTCCCACCTCCTCAAACGGCCACCACGGCTGCCATTCCGGAGTGCCTTTCAATGGGCATGCTCACTCGCAACGGTTTCTGTTGCCACCTAAAGATAGCCAGCACCAGGCTTTTAATTGCATTGTGCCAAGTGTGTAAGAGTGTGTATATATGTATATATACATGATATGTATGTGTCCACAGCCAATTTCCACGAACAAAACACTACGCCACGCAAACAAATGTTGTGCAGTAGGAAAAGAGAAAAGACGCATTGAAAACATCTTCCCCTCGTGGTTCCTCTCTCTTTGCTATCTTACCCCCTTTTCCTTCTGTCAAGGGATTTGCACTGTAAAACCCTGGTTTGTTCATGACCCCTTGTCTTTCGTCTGCATCACGTGCGAATTCTGCTATTCTCCAAAGCTTAGTGTTTTTTGAACCATCCTTTGTGATCGTTTTTGTTCTGTTCCTTTGCCTGCCTTCCATCAAGACTGCCGCACTTGGACAAACTAAGATTCCCTTACTGGTCCATAGATGCAACACCGCCCAGGCACCTCTGGAAGCTTGCAGGCAAGGCCTGCGAGAGCCTTCCTTGGCAACCATGAACCCGTTGACAACCTTGACCTTGCCGCAACACTTAAATAGATTCATTGTGCCGCAATGAAAAGGCTGACACACCATACACATCCTGAATTCCAGTTATGACACGACTGCTTTGTGGTGAGGCGGCAAGAGTCTGAATAAGCTTTGAGGCCGGCCTTTCCGTCGATGCCGCAAAAGGTACATGGTGTCATGAACAGAATACACTCCGCAGGCTTGAGATTGAACTGAGAGAAATCATAGAGACTCACACTTGAATTGCCCTTGTTCCGGCAAGGGCAAAAGTCTCTGCTGACTTGCTGGCTTCTCTGCACATGTGCTCTATGGAGCTCAAATGGCCATGGCTGGGAACGCAAATTCAGCCGAATGAAATCGCACGAATTTGCATGGAGTAGATTGAAGTATATATATATATAGAATATTGAGACGGAGTGCTTCTGAGATAAGATAGCTGTGTCAGCGAGAGTGACAGCACAAGGACAAGAGCCAAGTAGAAACATCCGTGTTGAAAGCCTCTCATCAAATTCGATGGCCTTCAAGGCTTGCTGAGCCTCACAGCAGGAGCAGAAGAAGAACTCCCTAAAAGAACCGGCGAAGCACTGCTTCTGCACACTTGACTTGAATGCCTCATTGAAACATCCTCAATACTCTACCATGAGCTTGATATTTGAACATTGAAAGGCAAATTCTTTTCAAATCTGGGCAACAAACATTAGAATAGGCCAAATGAGTTAGCAAACTGACCGGGCTCACAAACATGCTGAAAAGCCTCTCACAAAAACAAAAGAGCCAATGCAGCAGCTGTGCTCCCAGGAAGTCTTTGATTTCTATCTATCCAATTTGCAAGGAAGTCTGTGCAGTTCCAACAGCCACAGGACGCACCAACTGTGCCTTGCGAACATGCTGATTGAACATGCCTAGGGTCGAGTCTAAATCCTTGGGCAAGGCTCTTCATTGTTGTTTTCAACCTTGTCAGCTTATTGCCCCCTCGAGGTGTACTAAAGGCAGCACCACAAGTTGGGTTTCTTGTCTACACCATGCCCTCTTCCGTGTCAGTGCTAGTCCGGCCAACCCGGACCTCCACTAACTGTGTATATAAAGAGCTGCTGTCGACCAATCTGTGTTTGAGGCAGGAGTTGCGAACGCACTAAACGCATATATGTTTCTCATCGAGGATTCTATCCAAAGCTACTCCAGCCAGCCCTTGGCATTGCTTTTTGACAACTGTGAATCGCGTCCGTCGCAAGAGGTGAAAAACGTTTGGTGCCAATGAAGCAGGCAGCATCAATAGAAACCCATGTTCCAACTTCCCAACAAGCTAAGCAAGAGTGGAAGCATCAAAAACAGCAAAACTTGTAGCACTCACAGGAACTGTTAATGCAAGAAAACTGATGGACAAACACGCCAAACATCATACTGAACAGCAAAGAAAAGGAACATTGTAGAAAGAACAGTAGACTACACACGGACAATGCACGCTCAAAGTTTCAGTTATGTCCCGAGTGAGATTCTGTGAGAGCGTTCATCTGAAACAATGTGGCCGTCCTATGGTGTGGCTTAAGGCAACAACTGTAAACCTCCTGACCAAGAAAAATCCTCCGGAGAGCACAGATATTGATCTGCACTACGTTGGCTTTTTAGTTGCCACATAATGAAGCCAAGAAGGTAGCGCCTCCTTCTCTCGCTCTTCATTAGCATAATGCTCTTCAATCTTGGCAAACAATGCCAGGTAAATACATCAAGGCTTCAAGGTGAAGTGTTTGCGCTGTGGCCTTTTCTAAGAACGCGACCTCTCTCTTTTCGATTTCCTTGTCAATCAGTTGTACAAGCGTGGAGAAGCTGTGCCTGTCTGCGACCTGACACCCAATTGAACGCGGCTATCCATGCAGATTGACAAAGTGCTCCGTTTGACGATTCTGTTTCATAAAACTAAAACCAACACTCTCATAAAAGTAACTGGGGCAAGACACGAGAATGTCGAGGTTGATTGGGCGCTACGTGGTCAGCAAGAGCAAGAAACACAAAGGTATGAACAGCATACATTTATCAGATTTGATAGGACTTGATAAGTTGATCGGCCGGGCAGTCACTTGCGCACTGGGAATTTCGGTCACTTGCGCACTTTGGGTCACTTGCGCACTTGGCATCAAAAATTTAGGTCACTTGCGCACTTACCTGCTTCCTAGCAACGGGTGGTGCCTACTCCACATGCAACTAGTGAATGGGTTGGGGTGGGGGGTGGGGGGTGGGG